CTCTTGAACCAAACTAAACTTTTTCTGCTTGTGTGATCAGGAGAAAACCCAACCTTCAAAATATGTTTTTATTTCTACATACTGGAGTTCTAAATTGCTTGGGGGGAAATAGAAGTGATGGTGTTTACTCTTTACCCTTATTGAAACTACCAGTATTCAAAACACTTTGGATCATATATTCCCCCAGTCCTGACCTATCAATCACTACCACGAAGGGTTCACATTCAGAAATGAGTTCCAGCCAGTTACACTGTACAGGAAAGATAATTTCAATCCAATGGAGATGAGTTTCTACTTTCATTTGTTTTTATGAAGAAATTACCTGCTGATGTAAGCATATACTATTCTATTATGTTTCCTCTTCTCCATTTGTTCTTTACAAACTAAGCCAAATTATTCAGAACAAACATATTTGTTCTTTCTGGACCTGCTCAATTAATATATATTAGTAGGTGATTCTAATTTTCATTAAAAGGAACACTCTAATAAGATATCATCTCCTTTCTCTCACCATTTTAACAAAGCCAGTTGTATGATTAAATAAATATGGCGGTCCTCATCCTTTCTTATTGTTTTTCACAAGGCGATTATATTTTTTATTATTTTTTCCTAAAAAGTTTAGAAAATGAGAATGAAACATGTAACTTCTAACCTGAGGTGCCTGCTCTGGGCTACGAATTTATATATGTTTTTACAAATTCAGAGTCCTCTATTCTCAATCAAAATGAATATGTCCTGCATTATTCTTCCTTGTAGGCCACTTTCAAGGGCTGGATGGACATCATGTATGCAGCTGTTGACTCCCGTGAGGTAATTTGAAAAGACAGTGTTGCTTTTCCTCTTCTGAAGCTTTCACAGAGGAATTAACAAAGGGTTCATTTCTTCCTTTGCTTTTCCAGCAAGAGGAACAGCCTCAGTATGAAGTGAATCTCTACATGTATATCTATTTTGTCATATTTATTATCTTTGGGGCATTCTTCACTCTCAATCTCTTTATTGGTGTAATAATTGACAATTTCAACCAGCAAAAGAAAAAGATAAGTATCTTTAATTAGTTTGTTTTTTGTTCGAAAGGCATATGCTCGCTTTCAAATAAGTAGTTCTGGAGAAGTTTTTACCAGCAGCACAGAAAAATGAATTACCCAAATTGCATGCTCCCTGCAACTATTCAGTGTAGCTAGATTATTTTCCTTTTGGCTGTTCTTCATACGAAAAAAAGGGTATAGTGCAGCCTTCTAGTGGCTCAAGTTGTCCATGGCAGATGCCAATTCTGGAACGTTATGACAAACGTTGGTTCTGGTTTTCGATAAAAATTGTTATCTACTTTCCAAGCATTTAAATTACATATATTGGAGCTGACCATGGCAGAAGCATGGGATAATCTTATAAACATTACTCTGAACTGATTCACAGATTGCTGTGAATAATCTGTGTGCCTGTAACTGCAGACTGAATTATAGTTAAGTTTCAGGGATCAGATTGAAGCCCACCTTGCGTTCCCAGAGCCCAAGAATGTGTCCTGAAAACCAGAGCCGTGTTGTAGAACATGCAGCATAATAATAAATGAACATATGCAGAATGGAGAGTTAAATTGAATGAGAGCTCATTCCTTCTTGAGAAGCAAATTTAACTTACAACGAAGAGTAACTTCCTCTGCAAACATCTTCAAAGAAAAATTAGAAAGTCCAGTTGCCTCTTGAAAAAAAATACTTTTGGATTCCCCTGCAAATACACATTTTAAAAACTTTTTATTAAAGCATTCCAACAAATTTGGGGGGAGATAGACAAATACATATTACCACTAGTAGCATGCTTTGGGACTTTGATGCATCGTCTCTGACATTAACTTGAATATTATTAGAAATATTCATTGCACAGTCAGCCAGATGTTCAAATTGGTTTGGCATTTTTGTCTAGCTATCAAGTCCTCACCAAGGACCTGGTATAGGTAGTTTTATGGTGTTACAAGTATTGTAGCAGGATGGAAGCTGTTTCAAGTAAAGCTATCTTTTGCAATTGACCAATGGTGAATTTGTCAATGCCAATAGTGTTCAAATAGTGCTTCAGGTGTCTTGGGATTGCTCCCTAGGCACCTATTACTAATGGTACTGCCCTTGCTTGACTTTGCCACAGTCGTTCTATTTCTATTTGTAGGTCTTTGTATTTTGTTATCTTCCTTAGTTCTTTCTTTTCTATTGTGCTGTCCCCAGGCACTGCCACATCCACCATCCAGCCTTTTTTTGTCTTTCTTATTGACAGTTGTTAAGTCTGAGGTATTACGTGGCAGGTGCCTGTCTGTTTAAATTCGAAAGTCCCAGAGCAATTTATTTTTTTCATTTTCTATTACTTTCTCTATTTTATAATCCCAGCAGTTCTTGCTTGCAGGCAATGACATTTCTTGCAGATCTTCCAATGCACCATTGTTGCTACTTTGTCATGCTGTTGCTTGTAACAGTCAATCTGTGCAATCTTCTTGCAGCAGCTTACCAGTTGTCTATTCCTGTCTTCTCAATTCTGGCTTTGTATGCATTTGTCCTTATGGCTTGATCCATTACTCTCTTGGCCTCTATTTTCAACTTTCTTGCTCTTAGCCATTATCAGGTCTTGTTATTATCTGCTTTCCCTGCTATTTTTTTAATGTATTGGCCATGTAGTGCTTTGTCTTCCCATGCCTTCATTCTATTCTTCATTTTGTCTTTCTTGTAGGCCAGTTTGGTCTCTCCAGTAGTCAGTAAGCCTTCCTAGCATACTAGATTCAGTGCATCTTCTTCATTGTCCTTCAGATACTCCCCCAAAGCTCGGTTTTCTTCTTTAGCCATCTGATATATTTGCAACATTCCACTTCCACCTATTTCCTTGGTAGATAGAGTCTATCAAAGGATGAAGGGCATGATTCATCGTCATTATTTTTCTGGTTTGCCTATCCATTGCTTTTAGTTCTGCTTGAGTCCAGTCCAGTAGTGGGATTCAAAATTTTTTACTATCGGTTCTGTGGGTATGGCTAGAGGGCGTGCCTAGAGGGCATGGCCATGTGACTAGGTGGGCGTGGCTTTTTTGAAGCAAAACACCCCCCCCCCCATTTTTTTGGCCTTCTGAGCCTCAGGCAAGCCTCCTGTGTTTTTGCTCCCAGACTTCCCTAGGGCTCAGGAAGGCAGAAAACTTAGCTTGGGGGGGAGGGTGCAACACCCCTCCCATACTTCATTTTGGGGCCTTCTGGGCCTCAGGGAAACCTCCTGGGGGGACAATTTTGCTCTCAGTAGGTTTCCCTAGGGCTAAGGAAAGCAGAAAACTCAGCCTGGGGGGCTCGCAGCACCTACCCCGTGCTTCGTTTTGGGGCCTTCTGGGCCTCAGGGAAGCCAACCTTTTTGCTCCCAGAAGAGTTCCGCAGCTGCTAGCCCTGGTTGCTCAACCACAGTCCTAACTGATGTAGTCCATTTTTCATCAGATATCCAGGAACTCTAACATCTAGTGTGGACCTTGTTAACCCAGGTGACATCCAAGTCAGTTTGGCTGTCTGAAATTTATGTCTTTTCATATTTTTTTTATGGGAAAGATAATCTTTGTCTGACTCCTCTGATGAGACCTGTCAGGTGGGGCTGAATTTCTGACATAATTCTCATCTTCTTCAGAGCACACAAGCCCCACAATCACATCAAGGTAGTGCCTCACTGGGGGAATAATAATCATAATAATACCCCACCCTCCCAAGGAGCTTTACCTTGTAGTGGTGTAGGGGCTTCCCTGTTCTGTTGAAGAGCCATTTAACTATGGTGAAAACACATCAAGTGAATTCTCTGCTGGATCAAATGTTGCCTGAATCAACAAAACTTGCATTGAATACTATGATTTCTGGGTGTTTAGCAAAAAAATATGATACATCACTCAACTCCCTCTGGCAGGCTTAGAGTTGACAGGCAACTGGAAAACGAGTGAAAAAAAACAGAAAATCTTCCTTTTCTTCCAGACAAAGGAAGAAAATTATTCAATTGTGGAAGCTTATTATCGATCTGAGCCCACAAAATATGAATTTAAAAATTGCATGTTCAAGATTTGAAAGGAGAATCACCTTGATGTGGACATCAATGAACAAGGACCATTTTGGAACACATGCTCTTCACTAATGAGATTGCAAGCAGAGCAGCTCTGCTCAAGATTTTCCAAACTCACTTTATGTATTTTGTTGAAGTAACTGATAATAGAGATAATTTAGAATTGAAGCAACAAGTAGTGGAGAAAAGGAAGGAAATCAGAGAATTGGATAACGAACAAGAAGCATGAGCTGGATTAGATCTTGAACCAACAGCTAAAGCCAAATTAGGAAGAGAAATTATTGAAGAACATGAATAAAGCTGTCCAGACTATTATTCCAACAGAAACATAACCTCAAACCAATCAGGTAAGCTATGCAGCAGTTTAGCACTGAGAAAGGGGCAACGATTGCTGTTAAGGCAGGAAAAATTGTTGAAGATGATGGATTCAAACTTGATAATGAAGAGTTGATAAAAGAAGTAACACCAGAAGCGAGATACAAGCACTTAGGAGCAGTGGTGGGATTCAGCCGTTTCACACAGGTTTTGGCAAACAAGTTGTTAAATTACCCCCACCCACCCCTCGTGGATCTTGGGTGCTGTGCTGCAGTGGAGAAATGGGCAATGGAGTAACCAGCATGAGGTATGGAGGAGACCACTTTCCCTTTTTCTTCTCCCTGCTCCTCCTCCTCCCCGCCTGCCAGCTGCTCTGTTGCCCATTTTTCTATTGCAGTGCAGCACAGCACAGCACCCAGATCCACTTTGATAGTGGTGTGTGTGTGTGTGTGTGTGTGTGTGTAATTTAACAACAGGTTCGCCCAGGGTCAGGTTGGGCCATGCCTCCCATGACAGCCAACCTGACCCTGGGTGAACTGGTTGTTTAATTATTTGAATCCCACCACTGCTTAGGAGTTTTGGAAGCTTCTGGCCTGTTGCACACCAAGTCAAGGAAGCTACTTCAACAAAATACATAAAGCAAGTCTGGAAAATCTTGAGATCAAAGCTGAGTGGAGGAAATGTCATAAAGACAATTAACACCTGGGCAGTGCCTGTAATGTGATACTCAACTGGAATAGTTGATTGGAGTCAGCTAGAACTTGATACCTTGGATTGAAAGACAAGGAAACTAATGATAATGCACCATGCTCTGCACCCAAAAATATTGATCAATTGTATTGCAAGAGGACTCTTACAAAAAAAATTGTGGAAAAGGAAAACGTAGCTTAAATGACTATTACTTTTAAAAAAGCAAGAGCCTCTGCTTCTGCTGAAGATGAACAAAACAATGAGATTGAAAGCAGAATATCAAAAGGAAACAATTGAGCATCAAGTTTCTAACTGGTAAAGAAACCTTTGCACAATCAATAACTGAAGGACATTGAAGGAAAGGTAGATACAAAGCTAACATGGAGCTTGTTGAATTCAGGGGTGCTGAAGAAAAACACTGAATATTTCATTTGGCTGCCCAAGAGCAAGTTCTGCAGACCAAATTCATTAAAGCAGAAATTCAACCTGTCAGTAACAACAATGAATGCTGCTTATGCAATGAGAAAGATGAAACACTGGGTCACCTTTACTGTAGCCACCAACAGTGGCTGCAGCAAAATCTCACTGATTATCCACGACATCACGATCAAGTTGCCAAAAAGCCTTGACAGAAGTTTGGGTTCAAATGCAGCAAAAATTACTGGGAACACCAAACTGACAGTTCTTGAAAATGAACAAATCAAGGTCCTGTGAGATTTTTGAATCTAAACAGACAGACATCTGGCCCACAACACACTTGGTATCACTATTGTGGTATTAGAAGAAATATCCTTCTGGGTTCAGTTCCAAGTGGGGGAAAAGACACTGGAAACATGGAGACTGTTTGGAAAGATGGTTTAATGGTGGACAGGATCACATGCCTTGGAGCTCTTGTGAAGAAAAGGAAAGATATGCTGAGAGTCCCTGGGTTTTATACCCTCTCTGGCGTTGAACTTCCTGCGGCACAGGAAGAGTATCCGGATTGGTTGCTGTCAGAGGTCATAGCTAGCTTTGTAGGTTGTTTGTGTGCTAGGTTTGGTTGAAACTTGGTGGGTGGTGCAATGAAGGGCAATTAAATGGCTCTGTCTGAAGGAGGTAGATCTTTGTTATGTAGAATAGACTGGCCCAGCCTTAATGGCCCATTAACAAAGGTGGAAGGGCTGAGTTTCTGCCTCTCTGAGTTTCTACTGCTCTTTTAGGGAAAATAATCTGCCTTTTAAATACATCCTAAAATATTTCATTTTCCTAGGAGAGGGGTGGGTTTTAACTTCCAATGGTAGAAAAGAAAAGAAAAATAGTGATATTGCAATACCAGATGATGCGCAAATTGAAGAAAAACAATTAGAAAAAAATAACAAAATACCGTGATTTGCAAATTGAAGTTGAGTGATTCTGGAGGAGGAAATCAATTGTACCAATAGTAACAGGAGCGCTTGGAGCAATACCCAAAGGGCTGCCTAGATACATGGAAATTTTGAAATTACCAGATCTGAATATTCTGACATTGCAAAAAACCACCTTACTCAGAACTGCCTATATACTCAGACGTTACCGTAACAACCCTTAGGTCCTTGGTAAGGACTTGAACGTTAAGTTTTTTACCAGTCCCAGATAGTGAATCGAATTGAGGATTAAATATTAAATAACAATAATTAATAAAATAATAATAATAATAACTATAATAATAATAAGAGGGTGATGATGGTGATGATGATGATGATGATACTACATGATTTCACACCATATCTAATAAGGGTGATTCTTTTTTTTTACTTTGGAGGCAAAGATATCTTCATGACAGAGGAACAAAAAAAAAACTACAATGCCATGAAGAAACTAGGTTCAAAAAAACCAGTGAAGCCCATCCCAAGGCCCCAGGTATGCCATTCTCAAAATACAGGTCTATGGTCAGTGTCCATGGGAAATTTTTCTCAGACCTCCCCGCCTCCTTGTATTTAGATTCAAAAGCTAATCTAACTAGTCAGAATATTAATTTTGCCTCACTAAATGATAACATTATATTATTTCCACAGTTTAGTGACCTTTCTTAACTATAAAGAAACAAACAGAATAAGAGTTGCATGCAAAACTAAGTTAGTTTGCAAAAGTCAGTCATTTCCTAATTTAAGCCAAAATTTCTATAGGAAATAAAGGAGCACAATCAATCTTTGATTTAATGGACACTGGCAGTTGTGATTTTGGACACAACTGGCAAAAGCTCTCATACAATGTGTTTCTGCAGATGCGTAACATCCCATTTGGATTTAATGGAGATTTTGCTTTAACAAGCAAAATTTTGTTCTCCCATTAGTCTGGTAAATTGAGAATTTACTGTACAAGACTCTGGGGACCATAAAAATAAAGATTACATCTGTCAATACATAACCTTTTAAAATTATGTCAACTGCTATGAAATCTATCTTTCAGAAGGTAAACATGAAGAAAAAAAATGAGGTCAGGTTCCTAACAAGTTTTCATATACCCTTAATTGATCACTATCATTTTCTACCAACTTTTTCTATGTCCTTCTTTCTTTTGCATCCAAGTTTCTTTTTCCTGGATTCTAAGTTCTCCATTTCCTACTGTTTTCTAATACCAGCATCTGACTTTTATCTGCCCATGATATATACTGCAATGATTTTTATAGATGCATTATAGACGCCTTTATAGCAGTTGTGAAATTGAGTACTGTATATTAATGGTTCCTACAGAGGCAAACAGATATTATAAGTGATTCCAGGTAATTCCTTAGATCATTATCTCTCTCCAAGGCCCCATGGCTCAGATCTTAGAGGATAGTGATATCACCACAAATAATGAGATTAAAATATTTCAGTTTACTTTGTAGAAGTTAGGGAATATTAAGGGTAAAATAGGATGAATTAGATATTACAAGAAGTATCACAGCCCAATATTAGCCATTTTCTCATATAAAGTTCAACAGCATTATCTCAGAAAGTTCTGAAGTCCACTAAATAGACTAAGTCACCCATCCCTCTCTTAGGAAATCTCACAAGTCACAGGAAACAATATCTTAGAAACAATGATGAGATTCTAGAGCTCAAAACATTAGGAATTTTTTAAAAAAATAATTCAGAGTCAAGAGACTTATTTTTTCTTTTAAAAAGTAATGTTTGCTACTTTTTGTGTCTTCCAAGTAGCTTCAAGGCAGTAAACATTGGAAAATTTTACTTTTGGGTGGCATTCTGGATGATTTAGGTTTAGTGCTTCACCACTTCAATTTTCTCTTTGAGTTTTTCTACATTTCTCTTCCCTTTCTTTCATTTCCAAGTTTGTCATTGTCTGTGTGCCTTGTACCCTTCCTGTCTTTCTGTCATACGCACATGCATATCTACCAATTATTGAAGAACAAGTATCAAGGGATGATCTTTGACTTTGTGACTCAGCAAGCTTTTGATATAATCATCATGATCCTAATTTGTCTTAACATGGTAACAATGATGGTGGATGTTAGGTATAACATTGATACCAAATATGGTTTGGGTGAATAAATATATAAAACTTAGATATCATGGTTTAAGTGCTTATCACTTTAAGCACAATGCTGCAGGCAATTAGCCGATTAAGGGTGCGGTTAGAAGTTACAATATAAGGAAGCATTAGAAGCTGGAAAGCTTACTGCGACTAACTGTGTCTTACTGCGACTAACTGTGATTACTGACTGTGAGTGCCTGTGACTGAACTGTTCTTGTTTGCTACTGTTTGCTGATTTACTGCGTAATTCAACTGTTCTACTGTTTGAGCGTATTGCTGAATATCCAGCGTTTGTTCCTCTGGAGAGAGGCACCGGAGGAGGAGAAGATATCTTTATCGGCTGATAAAGATATTGTAAGGACTCTTAACTTGGACTGTAATAGTGAGTCTTACTGGATGGAAATACTGTGAATGACTTAATGGACTGAATGACAATGCTTTAAAATCTAAATGGATTAAAAACTATTTAAACTACAAACAGTGTTTGTGTTCAGTGTGTGTATACTCTGGGGCCCTTCCACTCTCGTTTTGGCTGCCTGGCTTGACTACTGCTGCAATACTCTGCTAGGGGTTAATCCCCAAACACTAACAGTGGAAACAGATGACCAAAGCCAAACCAAGATAAACATCCTTTCTCAAATCAATTTGGTCTTCATTGTCATCTTTACATCTGAATGCTTTCTCAAGATGATTTCCCTGAGGCACTACTTTTTCACTAATGGCTGGAACATCTTTGATTTTGTTGTGGTCATTTTCTCCATTGTAGGTAAGAAAAAAAGCATAACTGATTTGTTTCTAAAATATTTCAATCAATAGTGTGTACAATGGAAATAGTAAGACAGGAATAAAGGTGGTTTAGGATAACTACAATTAACTAAAAGCTATCATGTAACCAACATACTCAAACCCAACTCCTGGAGCAGATCTGTGCATATAAATAATCATGTAATCAAAGCCTTTTTCAAAACAATACCAGACATGAAGACATGCATGAATAAACAGTTTAAAATATTTTTAAAAATACCTAAAATGAAGAAAATATAAAGGCTGAAAAAAATGATAAAATGGATTTATATTTAATGGCATCATATGCCCATGTACAAAGGAAATTGAAATTGAGCTAACAAATTGTACCAAGTAACAATTGTAATCATTATTGCTAAAATGTATTCCCACTTTCCCCTTAACAGAGCTTGAATATGCTATCGATGGTTGGAGGTTGTGATAAGATATTCCTGCTCTACAAAACAAGCAAAATAATTATACCAGAGTTTATCTGTTGCCTTCATTACTTGGCAGGGGAGTTTTTCATTCCTTCTCCTACTTCATCCATCCTCTGGAAGATAATCCATTTGATTTCTTATCTAGACACTTCCAAATCTCCCCAATTATTAAAAGAATAACAGTGAATTTTTTTTGCTGTTCATAGGCAATCCACATTTCTGATTATGAAACTAGAAAACTTCATGACTATAAATGAGGTCTACAATTCAATCTACATTCTGCTTCTGTCCTTTAAAAAGGGATGCTTTGGATCATTCTTTTTATATCATGTGAAGCATTACTCTGGGAGCTATTCCTTATCTGTTCCTAAACAAATTTGACCAAATTTGACCAAGTAATCATTTATCTTTAGCAATTCTAGTTTAAACCAGAATCACCAAGTGGGAAGGGATCTTGGAGGTCTTCTTGTCCAACCTCCGACTTAAGCGGGATATCCTATACTATTCTTGACAAAGGGCCATCCAATCTCTTCTTAAAACTTCCAGTGATAGAGCAGTCACCACTTCTGGAGGCAAGCCATTCCATTGATTCATTGTTCTCACTGACAGGAAATTTATCTTCTTTATTGATCTCTGCACTCTTTCTACAGTCTCAACATCTTTTTTATATTGTGGAGACCAAAATTGGGCACAGTTATTCAAAGTGTGGTCTTAGCATTGCAGTACAAAAGGTACAAACACTTCACATGATCTTTATACTATTTCTCTGTGAATACAACTTAAAATTGCATTGGCCTTTTTTT